AGACCATGCATTAGCACCCTCTATGAGGTCCTGCTATGTAGGGAAGTGGGGTCATTTTGTTGATTGGACCAGGAAGACCCTAGGACATGCCCCATCAGAGTGGTGCTGACCTTTCTCCAAGAGGGGTTTGATTGGGGGCTGTCTCCTTTGTCCCTCAAGGTCAACATTGGAGATTCCTGGTGGTAATCAGGCCCATGCCTGGATTCGTGCCCAAGGTCCCTTCGGTCCCCTTCTGAGACCAGTTGGTGACCCTGCAAGCTCTGCCTAGGGAGGAGGTTAATTTCCGGAGAATAATACCCTTCACCATGCCCTTGAGGTCAGTGAAAGGAAAGGGCTCCTCGGAAAGGGTACGAAAACATTACTTCTTATAGAGAGTATTTTTGTTAGTTTTCAGAGTTTTAGTTTAGTTCATTGGTTGTTTTCAGCTCTTTCTGTGTATTTGGTCTTGGTTCTTTTAGATTGTATCTCAGACATCATTTATCATCAGACTTTTATTTGGGTTCCATCCACCCCCACTACAGTATCCATGATGCCATGTCTCTCTCCTGAGTATAAAATTTGTTAAACGCTTCAATATTATTATCACATACCATCTACTCTTGAGATTCAGATAGTCCTAAAAATAACAGAGACTCTCAAAACAATGAGCATAAATATAACGAAACATAAAATATAAATGAGTCATTCATCATTCTTGTTTGTCTAGTCTAGTCTGTCTCAGAAAAACAGGATGTAGATAAATAATACGTTGGCTTTCCTCTGTGTATAGATTTATTTTCATAGCCCATGTATGCTGTCATCCACAGGAAACGTTTTGAGGCTGGTATGACATCTCAAGAGTCGAATACCCCATTTATCATAACAAAAAAAAAAAGCTGATGAACCACTGACTGAAAGGGGATTTGCATCCATAAAATTAATATCTATGTATGGATTTCAAATGGCACACATGGGGCACACATATATGAACTATATGTGATGCGGAGACTGGTGATGGCAAAGAAGAGAGCTGTACCACTCTTGCATTGTACATCTACCGCTATGGCTCTGATCGCTCATTAAAGTTGAGGTTTCTCACCTATATACAATCTAAGTTCATTGTTCTTGCTAATGTGTGATTGGGTGTCTCTGCTATCACTCCATTTAAGTGGTGTGCGCTTGGCACATTTACCAACCCGCGGTCAACAAAACAGGTTACTCAAAGAAGCACATAACATTACCTGATATGCTTATTAGTACATTTACATTAGATTTGTACATTTGTTATTTTTTAGGTGTGACTACAAATATAAAATACAAATAAATTATACATAATAATTGAGAAACTGCCATTTATCCTCAAACTATAACCATACTGTGCATCAAAATACATGATCGTTGAAACCACAGTATATATATATATATATGTGCATCAGTATATTTCTGACAGATAGTATAGATGGAGGAGGAGAGACGGAAGAGGGGAAATTGAAGTGGAAGAGCTGGAGCGGTTGGAGGAGGAGAGGTGCTTGTGAAGATGCTGGAAGTGACAGATGAGATCCAGGAGAAAAGACTGGAGGAGATGAAAAAGGAGAAGCTGGAGGAGCAGCAGACGCTGGAGGTTTACTGGTTGAAAGAATAATTAACTCTCATTAAAACATTAGAAGTATAACGGAAGTGTTGAAATCAGAACTTGTGATGACATTCTGATCAGTTTTATATTGGTGTATTAATCATATGAAGTCAATGTTATAATTACAAATGGGTAATATTTTTTGTCATATGTACTCAAATCTAAACTTGAAAGGTCCAATTAACAAATTTCCATTAAGTCCGAGGTCCAGAAAAGTGTCAGGAAAAAATAAGCACAAACAGGCTGAGTTGTGCTGGCCCCTGAAGCTGTATCTATATCTATAATCTATATCTATACTGAACAAACAGCACCGGAATAAACACAGAGTAGCAATTATTAGGCAAGTTAAATGTGACAACTAAATCTGAGTTCTGGTAACTTCTTCTATGAGTACTACTGGTTGCTTAACTCACCCTGTGACAAATGCCTCGCAACACACATTGAAAGACATGTTTTATTTGGGCATCTGCTAAAATGCATGCAAGTCAGTTTAAAAAGTAAACAAGCATTTATTCAGTAAATAAAACAAGTACGAGCAACATAAATTCATATTCACACAGTACAATTTGGTAAATCAAGGTTTTCCCTAGGTTTAGTGGTGGTGCCCCTGAGCAGTGATATGGTAGGTGGGGAGGGGGATCTATTTGTGAGCTATGGTAATTCCCGTTTTCTGTTTAAACAAATGAAACTTTGCTGAAAAGAACCAAGTTTCAAGGGGGCGGTAGAAAGGGGACAGGAAGTGGAGGAGTCAGCGGAGCTTCTGATTCGTTGTTTGAACTTTTAAGTTCAAAAGTTTTCTTGAGAGGGTCTAGGTGCTTTTTGAGCATTTATTTTTACTATTTTACCATTTTCTTTAATAAATTACCTTTAAATGTACCTTTTTGTGACAATACTTGCTATCATTGTAGTACAACCCCAGCTTCTTTTCTGATTTAACACAAAAATACAATTCCGTAATCAAATTTTAGTGCAAATACCTTATACACTTACAATCACTTTTTTGTGTAGTGCTTTTTTTCCATATCACAGGCCTTGTACTTCCAAGAGTTATCCGTTCTTCTCACCACCAGATACCACTGATGGCAACTATTTGAAACTGAAGATTTTGATTTCATTTTAAAAATGAAAATTGCCTTCATTTGAATTTGGATTGTGTCATTCCTACATATTCCAAAACAGCCAGTGTGATTGGCATTCCATTGGTTTTATAGTCCCACTATACTACTTTGTCCAACATATTACAACCAAACACACACAAGAAAAAATGCGGAGGTTCACAAAATCAAGTGTTTGTTAGACACTGATTACTATGACCAATGGGGTCAAAAAGCTATTGTTTGAATGAATCCAACATTGATATTGTTGATCACTGGATATGTACATTTAATCAGTCACATGTAATTTTATTACATGTTTTATATATTGAATTTCTCAAGTGTTTTATTAAGTGTGCAGTTTGCCAAATATTGAAATTGTATTTTTTCCTTGAATTGCTATGTTCCAGATGGTCGCCCTTGGACAACTGCCATTAAAACAATACAGACAGCTATTCAGACAAAGGCCTACTCTTTATGCAAATTAAATTTAACCCAGAATATCTAGCATTTGAATAATTCAAAACTTGCCTTCTTAACTTAGAACATGAACGAGCTACAACCAAAAAAAAAAAAACTCAATTTTACAGCCGCAGGGAGACACTTTGCTGAAGAGGACTCTAACCTACTTTCCACCAGTTGCATATTAGTCTTTTTCTCTTGTGTTTGAGCAGCAGTTTTTATCTCTTTCAGAATGAGAGTTTGATCTTCGCAGACAGTCTCAGCTGAAGTCACAGAGGGAGAGTGTGGAGTCGAACAGATTGTTGAAGTTTCACTGCCGCCCTCTCATCAAATCATTTGCTTTTCAGCAGGCTTTGGTCTGAATGACAGCCCGTCAATATGTATTTCCTACCTGTCTCTTTATCTTATTCCCAGCCTGGCCACATTATAACCAGTTATTTACATAGTTTAAGTCATCCCTTCTTTCAAATATCTCCAGCACACAGAAGAGCATGTCCCAGTAGAAAACAATTTCACATCATGATTTTTTTTCCTTTCTAATTTTGAGAGGAAATGTTTTCAAAAGTTACTAAAGTCAAGAGTGATTAATGTCATGATGTGTACTCATCTGTTTAAAAAGCAGCACATTAAAGGTTTGTAAATGTTGTCCCTGTCACAACTCACATCTTATAGAGATGTCAATAATCCACAACAGAGATAACTGTATTCATTATATTTTCATAATGATGGAATCCCAGAAATTATTTTGTGAAGAAAAGATGTTTATCTTTGGGGCACCGCTGCAATTTGAACCCAGGATCTCCTGTTTATGAGACAGACACTTTAACCAACTAAGCCACAGCGCCCAGTTTTTTTCTTTATATTCCAAAGCAAAGGTAACTGTAGTCTGGTTTGAGCAACAAGGCAAAAAATACAAGTATATTTTCACAATTAAGGAATCCAGGAAATTATTTGGTGAGGAAAAGTGTTGTTGCATGGTAACCGAGGGCTTTAGAGTTGAGGACACACAGAGATTTGCAAAACACCAGTGGTTTGACACCACGAAAGCAAAATAACCAAACCAATAAATAAACAAAACACATCTAAAAACAAAACACTGAGCTCTAAAGAAAAAAATAAAAGATTTGCATGAGAGCAGAACCTGCATGTGCTTCACTTGGGTTAGCTCCAAAGCTAACTACAACACAGACTAATAGATGTCCAAAGTATGCGCAGCTCTCACTCAGGAGCTAAAAGGATTCTGGCCTGTCTACATGGACAGAGATTTCTGCCCGGCTTTAAATAGGGACCGGGCCTGCAGCCTTAATTGGGCTAAACCATCCACAGGGGTGCCATTGCTGAACAAAAATGGGTTACTGCAAAATACTGTTAATGTTTATAAACCCAGGCTGTGCAAATATCCTATTATCATAAATAATAAAAGAGATCTCATATAAAATCAAAACTGCTTACAAACAGAATGAAAAGAATAACAATAATACTTCGGCAACCCTCCATTACCCAACCAGATCAAAACATTGGTGAAGAGCACCATAAATTTGTCTTTGGGGATGAGGTCTCACAGGGGCATCATCACAAAAAGGTATATAGATTAGGGAAGTTGTTCTTTAGGACAAGATGTATAATTTTGAGGGATCGCTGGTATTTTAACCCAGGATCTCCTGTTTAAAAGACTTGCACTTTAACGAACGAAGCCACAGCTGCTTATATTTGACAATCCACAACAAAGATAACTTTAGTCAGGTTTAGAGCTACAAGAAAAAAAATACAATTCTATTTTCACAATGAAGGACAAAAAGAAATTATTTTGTGAGGAAAAGATGTATATTTTGCGGCAACACTGGGATTTGAAAACAGGATCTTATTTTTACTAAACATGCACTTTAACCAATTAATCCATGGCACACTGTTTTTATTTTTTTAATACTCCACATCAGAAGTACCTATAGTGAGGTTTTGAGCTACAAGGACACTATTACAATTATATTTTCACAATTAAGGAATCCCAGAGATCGTTTGTAAGTAAAAAAAGAACAGATTTAGGCACTGCTGGGATTTGAAACCAGGATCTCCTGTTTACTAGACAGACACTTTAACCAACTAAACCACAGTGCCCCTTTTCTTGACAAGCCACAACATATGTAACTTTAGTCAGGTTTTGAGCTACAGGGAAAAATATATAATTATATTTTCACACATATTTATGGTGTGGATAGGAAGAGAAATGGGGTAGGAGTGATCCTGAAGAATGTGAGGAATGTTTTAGAAGTGAAAAGAGTGTCAGCCAGGGTGATCAGTTTGAAGTTAGAAATTGAAGGGGTCATGTTGAATGTAGTGAGTGGTTATGGTCCACAAGTAGGCTGTAAGTTGGAAGAGAAGGAGAGATTCTGTAGTGAGTTGGATGAGGTGATGGAGAGTATTCCCAGAGGGGAGAGAGTAGTGGTGGGAGCAGATTTCAACGGGCATGTTGGTGAGGGCAACAGAGGTGATGGGCAGGTTCTGTGTTAAGGAAAGGAACCTTGAAGGACAGACGGTGGTGGACTGTCAAGAGGATGGGAATGGCTGTAGTTAATACTTATTTCCAGAAGAGGGAGGAGCATAGAGTTACCTACAAGAGTGGAGGTAAGAGTAAGCAGGTAGACTACATCCTAAGTAGACGAGCCAATCTGAGTGAGATCAGAGACTGTAAAGTAGTGGTAGGAGAGAGTGTAGCCAGACAGCATCGGATGGTGATGTGTAGAATGTCTCTGGTGGTCAGGAAGAAAAGGGGAGCAAAGATGGAAAAGAAGACCAAGTGGTGGAAGTTGAAAAAGAAAGAAGATTGTGAGGAATTCAGACAGAAGCTGAGACAGGCTTTGGGTGGCCATGAAGAGCTTCCAGATGACTGGGAAACTACAGCAAAAGTGATCAGGGAGACAGGAAGGAAGGTGCTAGGTGTGTCAGCTGGAAGGAGGAAAGAAGATAAGGAAACATGGTGGTGGAATGAGGAAGTACAGGACATCATCCAGAAGAAGAGGCTAGCTAAAAAGAAGTGGGACATTAGTGTTTCCCTCACCATTATATTAGGGGGGCGCCCCGCCCCCCCAACGGCACCCCCCGCCCCCCTTGAAGGTCAAGTTAATTTTATTTTATTTTCGTCGAAAAACGACAGAAGTAATTTATATATAACAGGTTTTTGCTTTTTTCTTTTATTAAACTAAATAGCATTATGTTATTTATACGATGGCATGTAATTTCTGTCTCAACATTTGCGCGTTTACAATTGTCCTCCGTATTGCACACGGCGGAGTTCCGCCCCGATGCACGCGCACCGCGGAGTTCCGCTCCGATGCGTGCACACACACACACCCATCAGCGGACAGAGACCGCGCTTTAAATGCTCCCAAGGTGGTGACGAGGACAAAACGTGTTCTGCTGCGAGCAGCAGCCGGTGTAGCTTTCCTACTCCGAATCAAAGTACAGAAAAGAGCCCAAATGCTGCATGTCTTGCCCCTGACAAGCAGCAAAAGTCTAGCCACCACAGAACGACAGGTTTTGACCTAGCTTGGCTGTCAGAGGCGAAATACTCCCCCTGGCTGTACAAGACTGATCTTGGTAAGTCAGTAAATACACACAAGCATGAATGAACGAATTGATAAATAAATTGCTTAATTAATAGCTAGCTAGTTAGTTATACAATGGCATTTCCTGCTTTAAACTATCACTATGTTAAGTTGATTTTTACTGTTGTTACTATCAGTTATCACTTTTAAAGCCTAACAGTTAATGTATTTACAGGTCAAAACAGACATTCGCAATAGGCTGCAAGGGGACCATCTTGCAGCCTGCATGCGGATCTCAATAAATGGGCCAGAAGTTTTAGACTATCCATACCAAGATGCTCTGGAAATGTTCTTTCAGAAGCCCAGAAAGATGCACTGCAGTGACAAAAGCTGCACACTTTGTGAATAATTAACATATTAAAATAAATCTGATGTTTAGTGTTTAGTTCAGTGTACAGTTGTTTAGTTATTGTACAGTAATTGTTCAGACATTATAATATATTGGTATACTGCAATTAAAAGAAACATATAAACACTATTAAGTGTTTGTGTGAGTGTTTTGCCGCACCACCCATAACACCCCCCCCCCCCCAAGGCCATGATCCTAGGGGAAACACTGGACATTGCAAGGACTGAAGAAAGTAGACAGGACTACAAGGAATCGCACCGCAGAGTGAAGAGGGAGGTGGCAAAGGCCAAACAGAAAGCATATGATGAGTTGTATGCCAGGTTAGACACGAGGAAGGCAAGAAGGAATTGTATAGATTAGCGAGACAGAGACACGTGAGAAGAGTGTGCAGAGAAGATGGAAGGAGTATTTTGAGGAGTTGATGAATGAGGAGAATGAGAGGGAAAGAAGGGAGGAAGTGGTGAATATTATAGAGCAGGAAGTTGAAAAGATTAGAAAGGATGAGGTGAGGAAGGCTCCGGGGAGAATGAAGAGTGGAAAGGCTGTTGGTCCAGATGACATACCTGTGGAGGTGTGGAAGTGTCTAGAAGAGACAGCAGTGCAGTTCCTTTCTAGGTTATTCAACAGGATTTTAGAGAGTGTGAATATGCCTGAGGAATGGAGGAGAAGTGTCCTATTGCCAATCTTTAAGAACAAGGGTGATGTGCAGAGTTATAACTACTTCAGAGGCATTAAGTTGATGAGCCACACAATGAAACTTTGGGAAAGAGTAGTGGAAGCTAGGCTAAGAAAGGAAGTGGATATTTGTGAACAGCAGTATGGCTTCATGCCCAATTTTTGCTCTGAGATTGTTAATGGAGAAGTACAGAGATGGTCAGAAGGAGTTGCACTGCGTCTTTGTGGATATAGAGAGAGCGTATGACAGGGTGCCGAGAGAGGAGCTATGGTCCTGTATGAGGATGTCAGGAGTGGCAGAGAAGTATTTCAGAGTAGTTCAGGATATGTATGAGAGGAGTAAGACAACAGTGAGATGTGCTGTAGGTCAGACAAAGGAGATCAAGGTGGCGGTGGGGCTACATCAAGGATCAGCTTTGAGTCCCTTCTTATTTGCTATGAAGATGGACAGGTTGACAGATGAGGTCAGGCAGGAATCTCCATGGACGATGATGTTTGCAGATGACATTGTGATTTGTAGTGAGAGCAGAGAGCAGGTGGAGGAAACCTGGAAAGTTGGAGGTCAGCTCTAGAAAGAAGAAGAATGAAACTCAGTCGCAGTAAGACTGAATACATGTGTTTGAACGAGAGAGAGGGAAATAGAACAGTGAGGTTACAGGGGGCTGAGGTCAAGAAGGTGCAGGAGTTTAGGTAATTGGGGTCAACTGTCCAGTGTGATGGAGAGTGTGGAAAAGAGGTGAAGACACGAGTGCAGAAAGGCTGAAGTGGATGGGGAAAAGTGTCAGGGGTGTTGTGTGACAAAAGAGTGTCAGCTAGAATCAAAGGAAAGGTGTACAGAACAGTAGTGAGAGTAGCTATGATGTATGGGTTAGAGACTGTAGCAGTGAGGAACAGACAAGAGGCAGAGATGAGGATGTTGAGGTTCAGTTTAGGAGTGACGAGAATGGACAAGATTAGGAATGAGCACATCAGAGGGACAGCTCAGGTTGGTTGTTTTGTAGAATAAGTCAGAGAGGCCAGATTGAGAAGGTTTGGACTTGTGCAGAGGAGGGATAGTGGTTATATTGGTAGAAGGATGTTTGGAGATGGAGCTGCCAGGCAAGAGGTCAAGAGGAAGGCCAAAGACGAGATATATGGAAGTGCTGAAAGAGGAGATAATGCAAAGTTGGTGCAAGAGTAGAGGAAACTGAGGACAGAGTTAGGTAGAAACAGATGATTCGCTGTGGCGACCCCTAAACTGGGAACAGCTGGTATTTGAACCCAGGATCTCCTGTTTACGAGACAGGAACTTTTACCTACTAAGCCACGGTGCCTTGTCTTTGACAATTCACAACAGAGGTAATTGTAGTCAGGTTTTAAGCTTCAAGGAAACCAAAAATTAATCGACAGAACACCTACTAAGAATACGAAAATGATGGGCCTGGTGGGACTCGAACCCACAACCTTTCAATGCCTTCTTCTTTCACCTAGAAGTCCAATGCGCTGTCCATTGCACCACAGAACCCCTCTGCTTATCAGTCACTCCTTCTGCGCCCGCAGGAAAAGAAATGGGAAAATCGCAATTAAGAGACACCTAACTGTAGCCAGGTTTTGAGGGGGAAAAGTTGGTGCGCCTTATAGACCGAATGCAGAGCGCTGCGAAGTCCGGTCACGGCCGTATGAGAGGCGTAAGAGCTCCGGAGCTAGGCCGAAGCAGCGGCCGTATTTGTACACCCAGCGCTGCGCGCTGACGTCATCGCCCATCTCTGCCATTGCGCGGTCGTAACGAAAACAGGGAAAAAACTACATTTCCCACAATGCCTTTGGCTTCCGCATCCATACTCACGAGCGAAACTACAGAGCTCAGCTGCCGTTTCTCACACATTCAACGCATTTGAGTGATCTCTCAAACTACAAACCTGATTTCTCACGCTAAAATACATTTCAAGATGTTTTTCTGCGATGTTTCTTGAGCCTGACGATAAGATGATGATCGATCTGCATCGTCTTCAGTCTGTGAGGGGTTTTTTTTTCGCTAAACATTCACTTGGACAGTTTCACAAACTTGGACAGTTTGATGATTCATTAATGGAGTTATGTGGGTTTTCATAAGCTGACATAAATCAAAAGGATTTATATTATAACAGCAGGTGAACGTCAGATGCACAGCGCTCTCTCTCTCTCTCTCTCGCGTGAGGAAAACAAAACGCTCTCATTGACTGAAACTCTTCTTAATGAACTCAAACTCAAATCATCGCACAACGGTACATCTCACACATGTACCTACGAGATAACAAACGTAAGTAACGTGCTCTGCAATTGGGTAGTGTTCCTAACCAGGTAAGAGTGCATAAGGATCATATCTTAACACCATGCAACCGAATTGTCACTTAAATAAGCTATAAATAATGAGTTATTTAACATTAAGGAGTAGTTACATTTATTTTACATTAAAATAATTATTAATTAATTATTAAATAATTATTATTTTGAATCTGGGGGTGCCCAGATTCTTTTGAAGGTTTAAAAGGGGGCTCAACTAAAAAAGTTATTACTAATGTGGGGGCAATCTTTCTAGCTATTATTAGTAATGTAGTGACAATGTTACTGGCTATTACGGTATTACTAATGTGGGGGCAATGTTGCACTGGAACAGTGATGGTGATAACGAATGGTGGACTTTAGAGTGATGAGTGGGGGCAAAGTAAAACATTATAGCCTTTTTTTTGTTACTTTTACTGTTTACTGTCTGTTCATGTTACATGTTTGGTTGTTAACTTTTACACAGTTGATATAAAACATTTTACAAAAGTATTTGATTCAGAATCTTTTTTTTTCTAGATCTTTCTCTTTTAAAATTGGGTGCGTCTTATGTGCCGGTGCGTCTTATGAGCCAAAAAATACGGTATTTTGTGAAGAAAAGATGTATTTTGTTAAGGCACCGCTGGGATTTGAACCCTGGATCTCCTGTTTACGAGAGAGGCACTTTAACCACCTATGCCCTTAATTTATTTATATTTTTTCAATGATGGAATCCCAAAAATTATTTTGTGAAGAAAAGGTGTATTTCTATGAGGCACCGCTGGGATTTGAACCCAGAATCTAGTGTTTATGAGAGAGCATTAACCTACTAAGCTACGGTGCCTTGTTTTTGACAATTCCTAACAGAGGTAAATGTAGTCAGGTTTTGAACTTCAAGGAAACCAAAAATTAATCGACACAACACTTACTTAGAACACAAAAATGATGACTTTGGAGAGACTCAAACCCACAACCTTTGAATGCCTTCTTCTCTCACCTAGAAGTCCAATGCGCTGTCCATTGCGCCACAGAGCCCCTATGCTTTTCAGTCACTCCTTCTGCACCTGCAGGACAAGAAATGGGATCTCCTGTTTACTAGACAGGCACTTTAACCAACTAAGCCACAGCGCCTTGTTTGGGCCAATTTACATCAGAGGTAACTGTAGTCAGGTTTTGAGCTACAAGGAAATTAATTTCATTTTATTTTCTCAATGTTGAAATCCCAAAAAATATTTTGTGAAGAAAAGATGTAATTTATTGAGGCACCGCTGAGATTTGAACCCAGGATCTCCTGTTTACTAGACAGGCACTTTAACCAACTAAGCCACAGCACCTTGTTTGTGCCAATTTACATCAGAGGTAACTGTGGTCAGGATTTGAGCTACAAGGAAAATAATTTTATTTTATTTTCTCAATGATGAAATCCCCAAAAATATTTTGTGAAGAAAAGATGTATTTCTATGAGGCACAGCTGGGAATTAAACCCAGGATCTCCTGTATAGGAGACAGGAACTTTAACCTACTAAGCCACAGTGCCTTGTCTTTCACAATTCACAACAGAGGTAATTGTAGTCAGGTTTTGAGCTTCAAGGAAACCACAAATTAATCGACACAACACTTACTTAGAATACGAAAATGATGTCTCTGGTGGGACTCGAACCCACAACCTTTGAATGCCTTCTTCTCTCACCTAGAAGTCCAATGCACTGTCTATTGCGCCACAGAGCCCCTCTGCTTTTCAGTCACTCCTTCTGCGCCCGCAGGACAAGAAATGGGAAAATCCCAATTAAGAGACACCTAACTGTAGTCAGGTTTTGAGTTACAAGGAAAATAATTTAATTATATTTTCTCAATGATGAAATCCCAAAAATTCTTTTGTGAAGAAAAGATGTGTTTTATTAAAGCACCGCTGGGATTTGAACCCAGGATCTCCTGTTTACTAGACAGGCACTTTAACCAACTAAGCCACAGCGCCTTGTTTGTTCCAAAATTCATCAGTGGTAACTGTAGTCAGGTTTTGAGCTACAAGGAAAATAATGTAATTATATTTTCTCAATGATGAAATCCCAAAATTTCTTTTGTGAAGAAAAGATGTGTTTTATTAAGGCACCGCTGGGAATTAAACCCAGGATCTAATGTTTATGAGACAGGGACTTTAACCTACTAAGCCACGGTGCCTTGCTATGACAAATCACAACAGAGGAAATTGTAATCAGGTTTTGAGCTTCAAGGAAACCAAAAATTAATCAACACAACACTTACTTAAAATACGAAAATGATGACTCTGGTGGGACTCAAACCCACAACCTTTGAATGCCTTCTTCTCTCACCTAGAAGACCAATGCGCTGTCCATTGCGCCACAGAGCCCCTCTGCTTTTCAGTCACTCCTTCTGCGCCCGCAGGACAAGAAATGGGAAAATCCCAATTAAGAGACACCTAACTGTAGTCAGGTTTTGAGCTACAAGGAAAATAATTTAATTATATTTTCTCAATGATGAAATCCCAAAAATTCTTTTGTGAAGAAAAGATGTGTTTTATTAAGGCATCGCTGGGATTTGAACCCAGGATCTCCTGTTTACTAGACAGGCACTTTAACCAACTAAGCCACAGCGCCTTGTTTGTTCCAATTTACATCAGAGGTAACTGTAGTCAGGTTTTGAGCTACAAGGAAAATAATTTCATTATATTTTTACAATGATGGAATCCCAAAAAATCTTTTGTGAAGAAAAGATGTATTTCTATGAGGCACAGCTGGGAATTAAACCCAGGATCTCCTGTATAGGAGACAGGAGGTGCGTTCGAGCCCATGCTGCGCTGCGCAGACCGATCGTCGAGATTAGCCGAAAGTAGCCGGGGAGGAGCTGAAAACGGAGCCGTCAAGTCGGACACGTTTGAGATCTCGTTGCTTCCTGAAACATGACGTTTGCCTACTTTGTCGCAGATGAACTGGATTACATTTAATGTACCACATTAAAACCACATTACATTAAATTACTGACATTTTAGTTATTCCATAAAAAATATTACTCAAATATGCAGCTGAATACTATAGTTGGTCTGTATGAAAAAAGGACAATAATAAACTTATGCACAAATCCAATAAAAATAATTTAAGGGAAAAAAATGCACTGCAGTCAAAAGATCGTAAACTATTTACGAAATGGTATGCAAATTGATTTTTTTATGCAATTGTATGGCTTGAAGCACGAAACACACGTGATCATCGTCATGTGGTGAATGTGGCCAATCAGGAGAAGCTGTGACGTCATCATATCCTGGCGCAGTCGCTCCTAAAACGCTGCTCCGGCTGAGCAAGCCGGCTGTTATCGAAACGCTCTCGCGTTACTTTGATGCCACACGTGAACGTCACGTGACGTCAGCGCCGGTTCAAGTCGGACAGAATTTCTAACCGGCATGCACTACTTCAAGTCAGCCGCCGATCGGTCTGCGCAGCGCCGCATGAAGTCGAACGCACCTAGGAACATTAACCTACTAAGCCTCAGTGCCTTGTCTTTCACAATTCACAACAGAGGTAATTGTAGTCAGGTTTTGAGCTTCAAGGAAACCACAAATTAATCGACACAACACTTACTTAGAATACGAAAATGATGACTCTGGTGGGACTCGAACCCACAACCTTTGTATGCCTTCATCTCTCACCTAGATGTCCAATGCGCTGTCCAGTGCGCCACAGAGCCCCTCTGCTTTTCAGAAACTCCTTCTGCGCCCGCAGGACAAGAAATGGGAAAATCCCAATTAAGAGACACCTAACTGTAGTCAGGTTTTGAGCTACAAGGAAAATAATTTAATTATGTTTTCTCAAAGATGAAATCCCAAAAATTCTTTTGTGAAGAAAAGATGTATTTTATTAAGGCACCGCTGGGATTTGAACCAGGATCTCTTGTTTACGAGACAGGCACTTTAACCAACTAAACCACAGCGCCTTATTTGTGCCAATTTACATCAGAGGTAACTGTAGTCAGGTTTTGAGCTACAAGGAAAATAATTTAATTATATTTTTACAATGATAGAATCCCAAAAATTATTTTGTGAAGAAAAGATGTATTTCTATGAGGCACAGCTGGAATTTAAACCCAGGATCTCCTGTTTAGGAGACAGGAACTTTAACCTACTAAGCCACAGTGCCTTGTCTTTCACAATTCTCAACAGAGGTAATCGTAGTCAGGTTTTGAGCTTCAAGGAACCACAAATTAATCGACACAACACTTACTTAGAATACGAAAATGATGACTCTGGTGGGACTTGAACCCACAACCTTTTAATGCCTTCTTCTCTCACCTAGAAGTCCAATGCGCTGTCCATTGCGCCACAGAGCCCCTCTGCTTTTCAGTCACTACTTCTGCGCCCGCAGGACAAGAAATGGGAAAATCCCAATTAAGAGACACCTAACTGTAGTCAGGTTTTGAGCTACAAGGAAAATAATTTAATTATATTTTCTCAATGATGAAATCTCAAAAATTATTTTGTGAAGAAAAGATGTATTTCATTAAGGCACCGCTGGGATTTGAACCCAGGATCTCCTGTTTACTAGACAGGCACTTTAACAAACTAAGCCACAGCACCTTGTTTGTTCCAATTTACATCAGAGGTAACTGTAGTCAGGTTTTGAGCTACAAGGAAAATAATTTAATTATATTTTTACAATGATGGAATCCCAAAAATTCTTTTGTGAAGAAAAGATGTGTTTTATTAAGGCACCGCTGGGATTTGAACCCAGGATCTCCTTTTTACTAGACAGGCACTTTGACCAACTAAGCCACAGCGCCTTGTTTGTTCCAATTTACATCAGAGGTAACTGTAGTCAGGTTTTGAGCTACAAGGAAAATAATTTAATTATATTTTTACAATGATGGAATCATAAAAATTATTTTTTGAAGAAAAGATGTATTTCTATGAGGCACCGCTGGGATTTGAACCCAGGATCTAATGTTTATGAGACAGGGACTTTAACCTACTAAGCCACGGTGCCTTGCTATGACAATTCACAACAGAGGTAATTGTAGTCAGGTTTTGAGCTTCAAGGAAACCACAAATTAATTGACACAACACTTACTTAGAATACGAAAATAATGACTCTGGTGGGACTCGAACCCACAACCTTTGTATGCCTTCTTCTCTCACGTAGAAGTCCAATGCGCTGTCCATTGCGCCACGGAGCCCCTCTGCTTTTCAGTCACTCCTTCTGTGCCCGCAGGACAAGAAATGGGAAAATCACAATTAAGAGACACCTAACTGTTGTCAGGTTTTGAGCTACAAGGAAAATAATGTAATTATATTTTCTCAATGATGAAATCCCAAAATTTCTTTTGTGAAGAAAAGATGTGTTTTATTAAGGCACCGCTGGGATTTGAACCCAGGATCTCCTGTTTACTAGACAGGCACTTTAACCAACTAAGCCACAGCACCTTGCTTGTTCCAATTTTCATCAGAGGTAACTGTAGTCAGTTTTGAGCTACAAGGAAAATAATTTATTTATATTTTTACAATGATGGAATTCCCAAAATTATTTTGTGAAGAAAAGATGTATTTCTATGAGGCACCGCTGGGAATTAAACCCAGGATCTCCTGTTTAGGAGACAGGAACTTTAACCTACTAAGCCACAGTGCCTTGTCTTTCACAATTCACAACAGAGGTAATTGTAATCAGGTTTTGAGCTTCAAGGAAACCAAAAATTAATCGACACAACACTTACTTAAAATACGAAAATGATGACTCTGGTGGGACTCGAACCCACAACCTTTGAATGCCTTCTTCTCTCACCTAGAAGTCCAATGCGCTGTCCATTGCGCCACAGAGCCCCTCTGCTTTTCAGTCACTCCTT